CGTTTTAGCAGAGACCAGCATGGGAAGTACTGCTGTGCTCGTGTGATTTGCCCAGAGCTGGCTGCTCTAGCTATGGCACCCTCTTCTTTTTCCTCCGAGCTGTTCCTGGTGAAGCCATTTGGGCTGCCCCAGGCTTGGCTCTGGCTGCAGAGGATTACAGAAGCCCCAAGCCCAGCTTTCAGTTCTGCAGAGCTGCTACATGACCTGGCTGTTACAGCCCAGACCTTGACCAGGAACAAAGAGCAGCTGCTCTGCTTCCCATGTTTTGAATCTCTGAGCACAGTCATACTCACATCTTGGCGTGTTCCTTGCCACGGTTTCCTCCTGCTATGAGGCAGAAGGGCTCTTCCCTCATTACTCACATGCAGGAGCTCAGCCCGATCACCCCGTCCGCTCCCAGGTGTTGAGGTGGCATCAGCCACACCTCTGCTGTTCCCTGATGTCTGCTTTTCCTTCTTCCCAGAAGCCATCACTGAAGGCTTGCAGGAGCTCCCTGGGCAGCCCGTTGGGGATAGCCAGGGGCGCAGCAGGTGGCTGATCTGCTCCCCCTTTGACCCTTGCACTGGTGTCTCCGCAGGTGCAGTTAGACAACTTGCCTGGAATGAGCTTAATGGCAGGAAAAGCGCTCAGCTCTGCTCGGATGTCTGATGCCGTCCTCAGCCAGTCGTCGCTCATGGCCAGCCAGCAGCTGCGGGACAGGGAGAGCGAGGGTAAGGACGTGGGGGCAGCGATCTGGGTGGGCTTCCTGCAGAGGCTGTAACTCCGTAGGGCAAGCCCTGATGTTGCTCTTTGGTCTTACAGAATGCGGAGAGGGTTTGGAAGGTCAAGAGCATCCCAACCTAGGTGATGGCAACCAGCATCTAAACACCTCCTGTTACCCGTCGACATGTATTACGGACGTCCTACTGAGTTACAAGCACCCCGAGGTGCCCTTCGGGATGGAGCAGGCAGGGGTGTAACGAGGAGGGAGTGAGTATCCGCGTCCTCCTTTTCCCTCCAGCTGCACGCCCAGGCTCGCCTGTGTGGCAGCCCCGAAGTCGTGCTGGCCAGGCTGCCACGTGTGTCTCCTTCCCCGTGCCTTTGCCCCGCTGTTGGTGCAAGGCTGGAGAAGGGACAACGCTGAGCTTCTGCGCCCAGTGGCTGTCTGCTGTCCCCGCTGCCTGTCAGGGAAGGTGCCCTCCTGCCCTCCTCCAGGCCCTTGCTGTCACACAGTTTGTGCCACGTTTTCCTGGCAGTGGCTCCGGTCTGGGCACGGCATGGCCTGTGGGGCTGGACTGTGGACGTGGCGAGGGGCTGTGGGAGCAGGATTGCCATCCTGTGCTATCCCCTAACGCCTCTCTGCTTTTTCTCTCTGTTGCAGGTTTTCTGTACAGCTTTGAAATGAAAAAGGTCCATTTTAAACCAACAGTATCTAGCAGCATTGCGCCAAATTGCCGTAGTATTTCTGACTAACTGGAATACCATGGCCCCTTTCCTCATAATCAGTTCATCCAGTGTGTTGTTCCTTTGGTTTCTTTAATTTTTTGCCATGTTTGCCTGTAACTCCAGCTATCACCGAAATAACCGGAGAACCCGAGTCCTACACGTCAGCGGAGGATTCACGGAGCCTGAGCACTGAGTCTGGTTTTGGAGGGCTTTTACTGCCCGGGCAGGGCCGCGGGGCTGCTCGGGTCCAGGAGCAGAGGGACCGCTGCCCCCCGGTGCCTCCCGGTGCCCCCCGGTGTGTGGGGCAGGAGCAGGCGGGGATGGAAGCTGAGCTCAGCGCTGTGCCGAGCCATCGCAGCCCCGGAGCCGTCCCCAGGAGGCCGAGCTGCCCTTCCCTCCCGAATCCTTTGCACTGGGGAGGGACCCGGCGGGCCCCCAGCCTGGGAGCGGGGGCAGAAGGAGGGGGCCCCGCACCTACCCCTGGTGCAATACGCTTCTCGTCTCATCTTCGTCTGCTTTTGTTCTTACTTCATTTTGTCATCGTGCTGAAAGGATCGCTTCTTCCCCCACCCTCCCCCTTTTTAACCTTTTCTTTTCAAATCCGCATACAACTTTTTTGTTGTTGTTCTGTTTGTTTTTTTTTCCTCCTGGCTTAATGTAGGGAAGACAGATTTTTTTTTCTTTGTTTTCTTAGCTTTTCCTCCTGATCATGTAGGAATTGTTTTTTGGTAAATGTTGTTTTATTATTATTGTTATTAATAAAAGGCAAAAGGAATTTCTGTTTGAGAGAAATTTTTAACTAGATTCTGTTCTATATGAATTGTGACTTGCACCTTTTGTTCAAAGTATTTTATTTCTTTTAATGACTTTGTAATTGTGACTGGTTTTCTCTCTCGTGCCAGTGGCGAAAGTGGTATTCTCCTTTATACAGTTCAGACATGCGTAGGTCTCTTCTTTGTCCTTTCCATCCTTTCCTTGACTGAGAGGAAGCAAACCCGCAGCAGCCGGGGCTCGGGGAGCGCCTGGTGTCATCATTGCCTTCGGGACTTCACGAGCTACAGCTGAAATTCCTCTTATTGACACTTTGGGAATCTTTTTTTTTTTTAAAGAAAAAAAAAAAAAAAGGAAAAATCGACCCAGCCCTCCTGAATTTGCACAGAAGGAAGTGTGAAACCAGCGTGGCAGAGGTTAATTCGCTATTGCAACCCATGCCTCTTCCCACCCCCTCCCCACCCTGTCCCCAGGAAAATAATGCTGTAAACGGAGCTGCGGCCCAGAAAACCAGAAAGGAGGAAAAATCTCGGCTGCTGCCAAGCAGCATCTCCCCGGCCAGCGTTGCTGCTGGCACCCTCGAGCTGCTCGGGGCCGTGGCTGCCCTGCTGCATTTATTTCCCCCGCTGGTGAAGGGGGCCCTGAGCGGGCCGGGGGCGCAGGGAGCCAGGCAGGGCTCGCCGGGCTTCAGCGGGAAGATGCCAGGAAACACTGAAAGCCTTTCGCTCTGTACCTTTGGTTTGTTTTCCTTTTGTTTACATGACACTGTATTTCTGGGAGAGTTGACAGCCACCCTACAGTAAGCATCCAAAAAAAAAGCAGGGACTCGCTTAACCGTGCCATTTCGCAGTATCACACTTTTTTTTTTTATCATTGCTTTGTATTGTAGTAATCAATACGCGCAGTATATGTTGAATGTATATTAATATACTTTGCTATTATTTCTGTTTTTTGGAAATGTCAGAAGTATTTTTCTTCCTCATTTATGTTGGACTAAAAAAAAAAAACTACAAAAAAACAAAAAACAAAACCCAAGTTTCGGTAAACCTTCAGTCCATTTTTTTTGTGGGTCACTTGCAACTAGTCGATTAGTTGGACAGTGGGATCATGACAAATAAAACCATGATGATGATCTTCCCCCGCTCTCTTGTTTGCCTTGTTGCTCAACGCCGGGGGGTGGAGGCGGGGGACGGCCGGGGGCTCTGGGGGCGCCGGGGGCGAAGGCTGGCGGGGTGGCACCGCTGTCCCCTCCTGCGGCCACGCTCGGGGCAGGCGTGGGGCGCACGTGGCCCCGTGCAGTGCCCCATGGATTTCGGGGCTGCCTCGCTCCCAGCCTCGCCTGCACCCTCCTGGCTGGGGACCTCGGGGGCCGCAGGGGTGCCGGGGCATGGCGGAGGCGCAGCCGCAGCCTGTGTTGGAGCTGTTTTCCTGAAATCCTTGGCTTATCTCCCTGCCCCCACTGCAGCGATAGGGCCTCCTGCGAAGGCGCCGAGCGGCTGCTGCGCCCCGGCTGACTCATCCTGCGGATGATTCCTGCGCGCTGACGGCCACGGGGGCTTCGCTGCGGGGCCCTGCCCGGGGAGGGGGCTCCAGGAGCAGAGCTGGAGCTGGCAGCACCAACCCACCCCGAGCCCAGAGCCCCCCGGCTGCGCTTCCCCAGCGCCCACGGGCAGCCAGGCCCCCTCTGCAGCGCTTCCCTCCCTCGGGTGCCGTTCACCTCAGCTTCGCCAGCTCCTGGCCAGCAGCTTGTCGTGGTGCTGCCATCACTGCTGCTTTCCTTGTGCCCCAGTTGTGCCTCGAGGTGCCCGTCCTGATCCCCAGGCTGCCTCCAGACCCTAAAGGGTGGGAGCGCTCCAGCAGGATGCGGTGCTGGCCCCCTGCGTGTGCTGCACCCCGCTGCATCCCCCTGGGGGTCAAAGACGGTGCCAGGAGCCTCCTTCCCAAACCAGGCTTCCCCTGGGGCAAGGGGAAGCTGTGGGCAGCGGAGGGGAGCAGGGGAGCAGTGGGCTGCCAGGGCACCACAGGGGATGGGGACAGGGACAGGGATGCGGTGCCCGACCACTGGGCTGGGCTTGGGGCTGCCCCAGAGCAGGGAGCATCGCTCCCCCGTGGGCAGCTCCCCCGTGGCATCGAGCAGCCCCTCCTGGTGCCCGGTGCTCCTCCGCAGCAATGTCTGAGGCTGTGCCCTGCTCTGTGCCCAGGCCCCACCGGGCTCCTTCCCTTGGAGCCGTCGCTCTGGCTGCTGAGCAGCTGGGCACCAAGGAGGAATTTTGGGGTGGCTGTGCCGGGGTGCTGTGCCCACGGCTGGCTGCTTGCTCAGGGCTCAGCCTTTGCCTCACTTGCCCAGGTGATGCTGGCACAGGGCACGCAGCAGCCCCTGGGCACGGCTCCAGGTCCCTCTGCACGGGGCCATGCCGGGAACCGGGGGGATGTGAGCAGCGGGGGGCTCGGGGAGGGAAGGGGCAGGGGCCCACAACAGCGGAGGAAGCAGGGCGAGGGGTTGGGGTTCAGCAGGCCAGATCCCTGCGGGTATAAACCTCAGTCCCCGGGCTCACGGCCAATCCCTGGGGGCTGCCGAGGGGCCCTGGTGGGGCCGGAGCAGCGGGCAGGAATCTGGGTCACCCGGAGCGTAAACAGGCTCCTTGGCCAGCGAGTCGCGTCCCGCGGGGAGCTCCTGTTTGCTCGGGGCCCTGCCAAGCCGGCGCTCCTTGGCGTGCTGGCCCGCGCCCGGGCTGTGCGCACGATCCTTGAACTCCACGCGCCACATCGCCCGCGCCGGGGAGTGATTTCTTGGGCTGCAGTGCTGGCTTATCTCCGGCGGGAGCAGCCCCTCCTGCATAAATAGCAGCCGCGGGGAAGCAGCGGGCTCACACGGGACGAGCAGCAGCAGAGCGGAGCCAGGAGAGCGCCGGTAAGAGCCCGCGCTGCCCCGGCACGGGATGCTCGCCCAGGCTGCCCCCGGCTCCGGGGTTCCTCCAGGACCCCCGGCCGGGGAATGGGGCCGGCGTCCTGCCCCACAGCAGGAGGGGGCCACACAGGGACCGTCCCACACCCAGCGGGGGCACCCTCGGGGTGTCTGCTGCTGGGTCGGGGGGCTCGGGTGCTGGGCTGGCTCTGCCGAGGGCTCCCCTCACCCAGCCGCCTTGCTCTGCCCCCAGGTTCTGCCCGAAGATGAGAGTCGTGGTGGTGACCCTCGCCCTGCTCTTCCTGACGGGTAGGTCCAAAGGGGGGCAGCGGGGACGGGGACGGGGACGGGGACGGGGCAGCCGAGCCTACTGCAAGCGCTGCGGGGAGCACCCGGCTGGCCAGCTCCGAGCCAAAACTCAGCCACGAGCCCCCAGGAACACCGCCGGGGCGGTGAGGGCTCAGCAGGGTCCTGGGCACAGCAGCGGGGCTGGGTCTGCCCGGGTCTCCTGGCCGCCCGTCCTGAGCACGCCGTGCGTCCCTGCAGGCACCCAGGCCCGCTACTTCTGGCAGCACGATGAGCCCCAGGCACCCCTGGACCGCCTCAGGGACCTGGTGGACGTCTACCTGGAGACCGTGAAGGCCAGCGGCAAGGATGCCATCGCCCAGTTCGAGGCCTCTGCCGTGGGCAAACAGCTCGAGTAAGTGGGGAGGGGGACGGTGGGGGGGTCCTGGTGGCCGTGTCCCCGTGCCCGGCGCCGTGCCTGACCTCGCCGTGCTCTCCCCAGCCTGAAGCTGGCCGACAACCTGGACACGCTGGGCGCTGCCGCCGCCAAGCTGCGGGAGGACATGGCCCCCTACTACAAGGAGGTGCGGGAGATGTGGCTGAAGGACACCGAGAGCCTGCGCGCCGAGCTGACCAAGGACCTGGAGGAGGTGAAGGAGAAGATCCGGCCCTTCCTGGACCAGTTCTCCGCCAAGTGGACGGAGGAGCTGGAGCAGTACCGCCAGCGCCTGGCACCCGTGGCCCAGGAGCTGAAGGAGCTCACCAAGCAGAAGGTGGAGCTGATGCAGCAGAAGCTGACCCCGGTGGCCGAGGAGGCGCGGGACCGCCTGCGCGGGCACGTGGAGGAGCTGCGCAAGAACCTGGCGCCCTACAGCGACGAGCTGAGGCAGAAGCTGAGCCAGAAGCTGGAGGAGATCCGGGAGAAGGGCATCCCCCAGGCCGCCGAGTACCAGGCCAAGGTGGTGGAGCAGCTCAGCAACTTGCGCGAGAAGATGACCCCCCTGGTGCAGGACTTCAAGGAGCGCCTCACCCCCTACGCCGAGAACCTCAAGACCCGCTTCATCTCCCTCCTGGATGAACTCCAGAAGACCGTGGCCTGAGCTGGCGTGGCCAGGGACTGACCCCGTCCCCCCGTCCTGCTCCCGCAGTGCCCCCTCTCCGCCCGGCACCCGGGGTGGCCGAGGGGACCGGCTCCGGGGGCCCCGGGCCAGGCCAGCCCTGGGGAGCCCCCCCTGGGGACCAACTCCTCGCACACCCCCTTCCCTCCCCGAACCGGAGTCTGTCTCAGCTTCGCCTCTCTTTTATCAAATAAACACGACTTAAGTTATTGGAGCTCACTCAGTCTTTGCAGTGGATGCTGGAGGGGGGCAGCCTGTGGGGGGGACGCGTGGGTGCAGCGAGTGGCACTGGGCTCAGCCGCATCCCTCTGGCACAGGGAGAGGGTCTGAGGTCTGGGGGGTCCTGGGGAAGCAGGGAAGGGAGGTGGCAGGGTGGGTGCCCAGGGGCTCTCCCTGCTGCCACCGCAGACCTCCGAGCCCTTCAGGGTGCTGCTCCCAGCTCTGCCCAGGGCACAGCCCCAGCTCTGTGCCTGCCGCAGCCCCGCGGCTCTCCCTGCTCCGAGGGCTCTGAGCTGGGCCAGCACGGGCTCTGTCACACCGAATGCATCAAGAAGCATCTGCCAGGGTGGGCAGGCACGGTGGGGGCTGCTCTGGTGTTGGCTGAACCCTCCCAGCTTGCAGCCCCCGCATCCCCTCAGCACCCCAGTGTGTGTGTGTTGGTGCAGCGCGGTGCTCGCCCGCGGCAGAGGTGCACACCCCCAGCCCATGCCCTCCCTCGCCCACGCTGCGCGCTCCTCCTCGCCACCCCGTGCCCCCAGTGACCCCCGGCACAGCCATCCACCTCGCTTCAGCTCCACTTTATTACAAGAACCGCCACGGAGGGCACACGTCGCTCCGTGGGGGAGCCGGGGCCGGTGGCCAGGTGGGACCCGCACCCGGCCGCCCCCTGCCAGCCCGCGGCAGGGCTACGCGCCCGGCGTCAGCTTCCAGAACTCCGAGAGCTGCTCCTTCAGCCGGGCCAGCTGCTGCTTCACCACGTCGGCGTTGTCCGACAGCCATTTCCTGCAAGGGAACCGCAGTCAGAGCACGGCACCGGGCGCGTGCCGGTGGGCAGGGGACAGGGGGCAGGGGGCAGGGTGCCCGGCTGGTTTTGGGGCGCGGGGGCACCTGGCTTGCTGAGCTGCCTCTGACTCCTGCACCGTGGTGAAGACCGACTTGACCACGTCGGTGGCTTGCTTGACGTACTCCTGCACTTTCCTCACCACCGTGTCCGTGTCATCGGGCGTGTCGGCCCCTGCGAGCACAAGCCCGGTGGGAGCGCTGCGTGCGCACCCCTGCGCCCCGCGCCCCCCCGAGCTCCCTCCAACCCCTTCCTCCCATCACCCTCCCATCACCCTTACGTGCTCCCACCGCCAGGACGGCCACGCAGATGAGCAGGAGCAGGACTGAGACCTTCATGGCTGGGGAGAGAGCAGAGCACATGGTGTGGGGTGGTGGGCAGGGGCCCCATCCCCAACCCCTTTTGCCCAGTGCCTGGTGCCCATCCCAGGCCTGACGCTTTCCGGGGGCTTCCCCACTCACCTGGGCGCGCTGTGCCGGGGCTCTGCTCCGTGGGGGCAGCCCCAGCCTCCCACTTTATACCCTCCCCAACAGCCGCCTCCGAGGGTGCTTGCGCAAAGGTCAGCGGCGGAGTGGCTGCGGGGAGGGGGCGCGTTCCCAGGTTTGCTCTGGATGGGTTTTTCTCCCCCCCGTTTGGAGTTGAGAAATCCCCCAGCAGCGGGGGCCAAGGCTGCAGGGGCTGGCTGGGGGCTGTGCATGTGTGTGGGCACACACGTGTGTGCGCAGCCACGCCGGGCTGAGGGTGGCCGTGGGGACAGGCCCGGGGCTGCCGTGGGCTCGCACAGCACAAGGGTGACATCCAGTGGCACCCACTCCCGGCCTGGGACAACGCAGGGCTGCCTCTGCTCAGGGGGCCCTGACCCCGGGGGGCTGCTGGCAGTGCCCAGGCTGTGTCCCCAACCCCGGGCACCCCGAGGTGCTGAGGCTGGGAGCATCGCAGGGCCTTGGCTGTGGCTCTCTTGACCCGAGCATCGCCGCTGCCCAGCTGCTCCCTGCCCCTGCCACCCCTGTGCTGCGCCCCAGCACTGCACATCCCCACCAGTCTCCACTCCGGTGTGCTGTCCCCTCTCCCCCAGCCTTCCCATCCCAGAAGGGTCTCAGCCCCGGGTCCCCGTGCTGCCCCCAGCCCCTCGCTGGGTTTGCCCACACGCCCTGGCAGCGCTGGCCTTTGGCACCCAACCAGAGGGCTGGCAGAGCCGCGGGTGCTATCAGCACACGTCAGGCCCTTCCACGTTGCGACCTTGCTAAAGTCCAAGCCTGGGATCCGTGGCTCAGGCCTGCGTGGAAGCGATGAGGCTGCTCGGGGAGCATAAATAGCCGCCGGCACTGCCCGGCTCGGCAGGTCCTGCAGGAAGCAGCAGCACAGGGGAGCCTCTCCTGCACCGCTCAGGATGTCTCCCAAGGCGGCCGCCCTCTTCTTGGCGCTCCTTGCCATCACGGGTGAGGCATTGCGGGGGCTGTGGGGGGGTTGTGGGGCTGAGCACGGGGCTCTGCCTTGGGGAGGGGACCTGGCATGATGGCCGGGGGGGTCTCTGAGCGTGGCAGTGCCAGCGCTGACCCCGTGCCCGTGTCCCTGCAGGGACGCAGGCTGATGTCAGCGCGGACCAGGTGGCCACCGTGCTCTGGAAGTACTTCAGTGAGCTGGGCAGCAATGCCAAGGAGACCGTGGACCAGCTGCAGCAAGCCGAGATCACCAAGCAGATCAAGTGAGTGCAGGGGCTGCTGCGGCACTGGGGGCTGCGGGGCAGGGGAGGGCGCTGGGTGCTGGGTGCTGGGTGCTGGGTGCTGGGCACTGGGCACTGACCACCCGCTCTCCGCAGCACCCTGCTGCAGGGCAACCTGAAGAGCATGAACTCGTACACCGAGGAGCTGCAGCGGCGCCTGGTGCCCTTCGCCACGGAGCTGCAGGCGCGGCTGGCACAGGACTCGCAGCGGCTGAAGGAGCAGATCCGCAAGGAGCTGGCTGAGCTGCAGGCCAAGCTGGCGCCCTACGCTGACGAGGTGCACCAGCAGATCGGCACCAACATCCGCGAGCTGCAGGCCAAGCTGAGTCCCTACGCCGAGGAGCTGCGCTCGCAGGTGGACCGCGGCACCGGGGAGCTGCGGCGGGCGCTGGAGCCCTACGCCGCCGAGCTGCGGGAGCGGCTGCAGGACAACGCGGGCAGCATCCAGGCCTCCCTCAGCCCCTACGCACAGCGGCTGCAGGAGCAGATCGACAGCAGCGTGGAGAACCTGCGGGGGCAGCTGACGCCGCTGGCCGATGACCTGAAGGGGCAGGTGGCGCAGAGCGTGGAGGGGCTGCGCAAGGGGCTGAGCCCTTACGCCCAGGAGGTGCAGGACGGCCTCAACCGGCAGCTGGAGAGCCTCTCGCTGCAGATGGAGAAGGCGGCCGAGGAGCTGCGCACACGCCTGGCCACCAACCTGGAGGAGCTGCGCTCCCAGCTCAGCCCGCTGGCGCTGGAGCTGCAGCAGGCGCTGCAGAGCGACGCCGAGGGGCTGCAGCAGCGCCTGGCCCCGCTGGCCCAGCAGCTGGAGGAGCGCGTGGGGCAGACGGTGGAGGCTTTCCAGAGGCAGGCGGCCCCCGTCGGAGAGGCCTTCGGGCAGCAGCTGGTGCAGCGGCTGGAGGAGATGCGGCAGAAGCTGGAGTCGGGCACGGCGGGCGTGGAGGACCACCTGGACCTGCTGGAGAAGGAGGTGCGGGAGAAGGTGGCCACCTTCCTCAGCACCACAGAGCAGGCAGAGGAGTGAGCCCCCCCTCACTCCCCCAGTAGCATTCGGGGCTTCTCCGCGGGGCGGAAATAAACTGGCGCTTTGTGATGCACTCGATGTCTGTGTCCGTCCTTCCCCTGCTGTCCCGAAACCCCCGGGTGCTGCTCGGCCTCCCCTCTGGGTTTGGGCCTGGGGACAGAGGTGTGGCTGGGAGGGGGCCAGGGCAGGCTGTGGGCGCTGTGTGGGGGCCAGGAACCTTTTAGCCAGGTGAGCAGACAACAAGGGGCTGGCTGCCCCTACACGGGGGCTGAGCCTGAGGTGTCACCGCGCCGCAGTGCCACGGTGGCTCAGTGGCACCTGGGCTCCCCCAGGGCTTTGGACAGGGAGGTGTGATGCCGAGCATCCCCGCTGCAGCAGGACCAGGGCACCCTGGGGCTCACGGCGGGGTCTCACCAGCACCCCCAGCTCCACCAGCAGAGCACCCCGGGGTGCTGGGGGCGACCTCTTGTTGTAGGGGGGATGTGGGCACCAGAGGAGTCCCCCGGGGCCTCACCCCGTGTGCCGGACTTTGCACGGAGACGCCGATGGGTGCGGGGCAGCCCTGGAGGTGCCTCTTGCAGCAGGTCTGCTCCTGCCCCTGTTTGCTGGGTTGCTCCAGAGCAAACACCCAAAGCCCGGAGTCAGCAGCTCGGGGGAGCGGCCGGGGGGAGCTGCACACAGCAGCCCCTGCCTGGCTGGCAGTGGGGCTCTCCTGCCCCTCTGGGCGCAGCCTCTCTCCACGGGGACAAGACCCAGGCTGAGGACAGGGAGGTGTTTTTCACGGGGGGAAAATTTGGACAAAAAATGGGTGAATCCTGCCAGGGCTGGGGTGTCGTGGTCCCCAGGGGTGGCTGCAGCCAGTGCCCTTCTCCCATTCCCCCATCCCAGTGAGCCCAGAGGGGCGTCCCATGGCCCAGTGAGCCACCAGCAGCTCCCACAGGCAGCACCGCCGGGGGGACCTGCGTTTGGGTGAACTTCAGCCAGTTCCAACGTCCTGCTGTGAGCAGCTGGCCTGTGGGCTGCTCTGCTAACCGCTGCCTTCCTCCTCCTCATCCTCATCCTCATCCTTCTCCTCCTCCTCTCCCTTCCTCCTGCTCCTCCACTGCCTTCCTCCTTCCCTGCTTTCCTCCACTGCCTTCCTTCTCCTCCTCCTCCTCCTCTTCCTCCACTGCCTTCTTGATCCTCCTCCACTGCCTTCCTCTTCCTCCTCCTCCTCCTCCAGGCTGCTTTGCGGGGCCAGGAGGGAGCCGAGCCCAGCGGCTGTGCCTTCATTTAAGGCCCTGGACGCTGCTGAAAAAAAAAAAAGGAAATAAAAAAGGAAAAAAAAAAAAAAAAAAGGAAAAGAAAAAAAAAAAAAGAACAAAAAGGAGGGCCAGAAAAGTGGGCAGAAAAGGGGCAGAGCTCGGGGTTCCATTGATGGGATCACGCCGGGGGGCGTGGCTACACCGGTGGGCGTGGCTACAACTGGTGGGCGTGGCCACGCGGCCGCTCCCATTCACCCACCCGCGCGCCGCCCCGCCCACCTCCCCGTTACTCCCACCCCTTCCCCACGTGCCCCCTCCGTCACGTGGCGGCGGGCCGCGCCTGCGCGGTGCGGCGGGGCCGCGGCGCTCCACAAGATGTCGGCGCTGGGCGCGGTGGAGGCTGGGACCGGGACCGGGACCGGGGCCGCCCTGTTCCGCCCGCTGGACGCCGAGGACGGCGAGCAGCGGCCGGCGGAGATCGAGTCGTCTGTGCATGAAGTGCCACCGCAACGTGAGAGCACGGCGGGGGGCGGTGGCGGTGCTGTGGGGGCGGCGGGTCCCGCTGCCAGCCCCCCGCCTCACCGTGCCCCGCCGCAGGGCGTGACGCGGCTGCTGCTGACGCGGGTGCCGTTCTTCAGGGAGCTGATCGTCAGCTCCTTCAGCTGCCCCGCCTGCGGCTGGGCCGACGCCGAGATCCAGCCCGCGGGCAGCATCCAGGAGCGGGGGGTGCGCTACACGCTGGCGGTGGGGGCCCGGCAGGTGAGCGGGGGGGGGGGTCCCAAAGCTCCCCCCTTGGTGTGAGGGTGGGGGTGAGGGAGGTTTTTGGGGGGCTGTGGTGATGGGATGTGCCCTGCAGGATATGAACAGGGAGGTGGTGAAGACCGACTGTGCCTCCGCGCGCATCCCCGAGCTGGACTTCGAGATCCCGGCCTTCTCGCAGAAAGGAGGTGGGTACGGGGCCGGCCCCCCCTTCGCTGCCCCCCTCAGCAGCAGCACCGGGGTGCGCTGAGCGCTGCCCCTGCGCCTCTCGTCTCTCCCTTTCCAGTCCTGACCACCATCGAAGGCATCATCGACAGAGCTGTCATGGGCCTGGAGCAGGACCAGCCCGTCCGCTGGGTAAGGTGCTGTGGCACAGGGATCTCCTCAGGGATTTGGTACACGCTTGCTTTGCTCCCCTGCCTCCTGGCTCTCCACCCTTCTAATCAGCGGTGTTACGGGCTCTGGTTTGTTCTGCTGACAGCGTTATCTTCAGCTCCGGGTTGCCCCCAGCATCGGTTCCAAACGTGTCTCCCTTTTCGCAGGCAACAGACAAAGAGGTGGCAAGTAAAATCGATGAGTTCATCGGTAAATTAAAGCAGCTGAAAGAAGTACATTCCCCTTTCACGTTTGTAAGTATGTGCAGAAGGGCACACCCGTTATGATGGAAGTGTGGCTGGCTTCCTAAGGCTTTCTGTGGCTCTTCTGCTGTAGATCATAGACGACCCTTCAGGGAACAGCTTTGTGGAGAACCCCTACGCGCCACAGAAGGATGAAGCTCTCGTGGTCACGCATTACAAGAGGACTCCCCAGCAGGCTGCCATGCTGGGGATTGAGGTAACGTGGAGGCGTTGTGCTCCCTTCTGCCCAGCGGTCCCTTCCCCACCGCTGGTGGTGTGGTGGCAGCTTTCTGCATGTGCCACGTGGCCTGGGCACAGCGCTCAGGACTGATCTGCCCCTCATTGCCTGTGAGACCTCAAATTAAATAGCAGGTAGCAGTTAATGCTGTTTCTGGGCTGTCCTGTTGCAGGGAGAGGAGTTGGATGAGAAGCCAGCTGATTCTGTAGAGGATCTGAGGAACGAGGTGGGTGACTTTGCAATCTGATGGTGGCTGTGTCGAGGTGACTGTGGTACGTGGGGCTGGCTGATGCTCCCTGACTGCCCTTTTCCTTCCTTTGATCTAGGTACTGCAGTTCAACACCAACTGCCCCGAGTGCAATGCCCCAGCTAACACAAACATGAAGCTGGTGCGTATCCTGTGGGTGACAGCCTGGGGTCAGGCTGGTGGCGGCTGCTGGGGGCTGTGCAAAGGCCAGGGTGAGGGTGGCTTTGTGTGCTGCCCTGGGCCTGTTCTGCTGCATCCATAAGGCACGAATAAATGATAGCTAGCAGAGGGCACAGTCCGCTCTGAGATGGAATTGCTGAATTTTCCTTGACTGCCTGCTCCAGAAATCCCCCACTTCAAGGAGGTGATTATCATGGCCACAAACTGTGACTCCTGTGGGCACAGGACAAATGAGGTGAGCTGGTAAACTACTGGCCTGTTCTTTCTTCTTTTTGTGTGCTGGGGGGAGTTCTTGTATTTTTTCATGGCTGGGTGTTTCTCAGACTCCCTGCCTGTGCTTCACACTGTTCAAAACGTAGCAGTCTGGGCAAGCCAGGCAGGGAGGCTGGGCTCTCAGTCTGTTTCATGATGCCCATTGCACTGGGCGTAGAACTGCCTTGGTTACGTGTGGGGGCAGATCACCTGCAGACTGTGCTGAAGCTGACACCTGGTTAGGTTGGGGTCTGTTCAACGTGCTGGAAGACTCCCGTGTTCCCCAAATAAGGGGAGAGAGCCTGGCTTCCCTGTAAATTATGGCCTGACCAGTATGAAAGTTGGGGCCGCTGACTCTTGGGTGTTGTAGGTGAAGTCTGGAGGAGCAATAGAACCCCAGGGCACCAGGATCACCCTTCGGATTACAGATCCTTCGGACATGACGAGAGACATCCTAAAGGTAAGGAGCCTTCGGCTACCTGCCCCCTCCCACAGAGGGTGCCTGCTGGGCTGTCAGGACTCATGCAGGGTCCCTGTTACAGTCGGAGACGTGCAGCGTGGAGATTCCAGAGCTGGAGTTTGAGCTGGGAATGGGAGCACTGGGAGGGAAATTCACCACGTTGGAAGGGCTGCTGAAGGACATCAAAGACCTGGTAAGTGGGCCTGGGCTGCTGTCTAGTGGAGCTCTGCCAGAAGGGTTTGTATTCCTCTGCAGAGCAGTGCACTGCTCCTCTCGTGCTTCTTCCTCCCTTCCCAGCACGGCGTGTTGGTTATGCTTGTGCTGAAGGGTCTTTCTCAACACCCAGCAGAGCTCAGACCCCTCTGCATTAATGTTTGGCCTGTGTGTGTGAGGGCACTGTGGGACTGGGCTTCTCCTGCCCTGCATAAGTGCTGGGTCTGCTCTTCCAGGTGGAGAGAAACCCCTTCACCCTGGGGGACAGCTCTACTCCAAGCAAAAAAGAAAAGCTGCAGGAGTTTGTTGGCAGACTGCAGGAGGTAAGTGTCCTTAATTCCCAAACTGTGGTGTGGTTTTGGCTTTGTCCCTGCAGTGAATGGGGTGTGTTTAACTGAACTGCGTGCCGAGTGCCACAGAACCTCCTTGAGCTGTTCTACACCTGTGCTTCTGTGCCCTCATGTGTTTGTCAAGCAGCTGCTGTTAAGTAAGGCAGATGTTCAGTGCAAAGATGTGTGCTGTGGGTCTGTTGGTATCACAAATGCCTTAATGCATTGGCGTGCTCTCTTCCTGCAGATAATAGAGGGAAAGACCAAGGCTCACTTCATAATGGATGATCCAGCAGGAAACAGCTACCTTCAGGTACAGTGGTGTGCACTCAAACATCCTGACATGTTCTGAATGGCTTGGGAAGATTTTTCCCCTTGTTTGTTGGCTGTTAGGGTTTTTTGGGGGCTTGTGTAACGAGGGGGAGTACATAGGGAAGGAAGGCACTTCATAGGGAAGGAAGACTGCTGGTAAATTGGGGGGAGGGATGGTGGCAGTGGTGTCTGTGTTTGGGATAAGGGGCTGGGGATTTTAGTATTCTGGAATACCAGATTTTGGTATTCTGGTTCTGATGGGCAACTGGTGCTTGGCACAGGGGCTGGGTTTGTTGGGTCTGGAGCTCCTCCGCCCCAGGCAGAAGGGGAGGGAGGCTCAGGAGGCTTCTCTCTGCCCCGCAGAACGTGTACGCCCCGGAGGAGGACCCGGAGCTGCGGGTGGAGCGCTACGAGCGCAGCTTCGAGCAGAACGAGGAGCTGGGCATCAACGACATGCGCACCGAGGGCTACGAGGCGGCTGCCGACCGATAGCAGCGGGGCCCAGCCCCCCTCCCGCAGCACCAGGACTCACTGCTAACCGGGGGCACGCCGGGAGTGCCGCGCTGGGGTGGGTGGGGGGGTGATTTTGGGGTAGATTCGGCTGTTTTTGGGGTTTGTTCTAATAAAGCACCTGCGGATAGCACCATGCGCTCGGCTCCTCGTGGCGGGGCGGGAGGCCACGCCCCCTTCAAGGTGGCCACGCCCACTCCCCAAATGGCCACGCCCACCCCGATACCTATTACAAGATTGACCACGCCCACTCACCACAGACCACGCCCCCCTTCCGTGTGACCACGCCCACCCCCCGATACCTAACATGCGCCATAGCCACGCCCACACACTCGCTGACCACGCCCCCTCCATCCTTAGCCACGCCCCCCTCCGCCGCCCCGTGTCCCTCGGCGGCCGCCGTACTTCCTGTTTCCGTACTTCCTGTTTCCTCCCCGGTTGCCGCCCGGCCATGGCGGCGCGGGGCCTGCCGAAGGCCCAGTACCTGCAGCGCTACCTCAGCGGCCCGCCCGCCGCGCAGCCCCGCCGCCGCCGCAGGAAGAAGCCGCCGGGCGCCGCCAGGACCGGGTGAGTGCGGGGCCGAGGCCTCCTCCCCCTCCCCAGCGCCTCAGAGCCGGGCCCGGTGCTCCCCTCCCCGCCCCCCCCCCCATCCCCTCACAGCCGGGCCTGGTCCCGGTTCCCCCCCCCCGGGCCCCAGCCGCTGACGGAGGCCCCGGGCCCGCCCGCAGGATGCGCATCGTGGATGACGACGTGAGCTGGAGCAGCCTGGCCGGTGGTGGGGAGCAGCAGCAGGACGAGGAGGAGGAGGAGGAGGGAGATCTGCCCGTGGTGAGCGCCCCGGGGGGGCACGGAGCCGTCAGGGGTGGGACTGGGGCTTTAATTCTGTAACTAGGGCTTTAGTTCCTAATTCTGTAGGTAACAGAACTGCCTACACTGGGAGGGAGCTCCGGGATTACCTGGTCCAACCTCTGAGCTGACACAGCAAGCCCTCCCCTAACCCGTATCACCCAGCTCTACCCCTAAACATCTTAGTCACACCTAATCACTTCTTTTGCAGAGTTTAAGCCCCTTTCTGTTTCTTTTTCCCCCTACAATTTGCATTGTTGACTCCAGCGTTTCATCCTTAGGTGGCAGAGTTCATCGATGAGCGTCCCAGTGAAGTAAAGCTCATGGAGGAGTTCCGAACAAATGCGAAATGGAAGCTGTTAGGAGGTGAGGCAAAACCTTCCTGGCACTTCTCCCTGAATGCTTTGCTGTTCTAAACAATAAAATGGTGAGGTAAAAATAGTGCTAGCTCACAAAAAATCTTTTAGTACTAAAGAGATCACAGTGTGGAGAACCTTACTCTAGTAACTTACTGATGTTTTTTCTTTAGATCAGAACGAAGACTCGCAGAGTTCAGATATCTCAGTACCTGCCAAACCTACCGCAAGGTCTGTATTTCCAGCCACAAATTCTTCTCTTAGTTAATCCTTTTTTTATTTGTTTTGGTCGTTCTCTGTCTCATTCTGCAGTTTCAAAGTGCTGCAGCGTTAGAAGTAGCACACACGGGGATACTTCTTCCACTGCTGAATCCCCTCTGGATGGGGGAGAAAAGCTGTCAGCTGGCGCATTGTTTAGGTTTCTGCAAGATGTGCAAGCAGCCACCCTGCAATCCCTTGTTACCAGATAAATCTGTGCAGTGACTGGCTGCAGACCTGGAGCACAGTGAGGGTGGTGGCATCGCAATGTGCCCCTCTTCTGAAGGCAGCTGGGGGATGTTCTGTGATCAGAGCCCAGGGGGGCGTTTTGTCGTGAGAAGGTGATTGTAGGAGGGCACAAAACAGGCAAAACAGCAAAGCAAAACAAACTAATTCTCATTTGAAACTTCCCTCCTCCTCCTAGGCGACAGCGCCACGACTCCCCAGACAACTCACCACCAAGGCAACTACGGCACGACTCCCCGGATCTGTCCCCTCCCAGGCGAGAGAGAAACAATTCCCCCAGCCTCTTACCACCCAGGCAGCAGCGCAACGACTCCCCGGATCTCTCCCCACCACGACAGAAACGCCACGACTCTCCGGATCTCTCTCCTCCGAGGCGGAAGCGCCACGACTCTCCAGACCCATCAGCTCCCAAGCGACAGCGCCACGACTCTCCAGATCTTTCTCCTCCCAGGCGACAGCGCCACGACTCTCCAGATCTTTCTCCACCGAGACGGAAACGCCACGACTCTCCAGATTCATCACCTCCGAGACGGAAACGCCACGACTCCCCAGATCTCTCTCCTCCCAGGCGACAGCGCCACGACTCTCCAGATCTCTCCCCACCGAGACGGAAACGCCATGACTCTCCAGATCTTTCTCCACCGAGACGGAAGCGCCACGACTCCCCAGATGTCTCTCCAAAGAGAGTCAGTTCAGCAATGGGAAAAAAGGGCTGCAAAACAACAGAGAAGTCACAGTCAGGGGGGATGCAAGGAGAGCAACCTCACCTCAGGCATGGCTTCTCTGACAAGTCCTCATCGCGTCAGAAGCGGCAGGCTACGCCAGATCTGTCCCCTCCACGGAGGAGGAGAGATGATTCTGACCCAGATTTATCACCACGTCGGCAAAAGAGGTCTGGGTCACCTGGTCAGAAAAAGCCGAGTAGAACAAAAGGTGAGCCTGGAAGAGTTATTGTTCTGTCTCTGCTGATCGTTGCTGGCTGCCTGGTCTGTGGTGCTGTGTGCATGGTTCTGGGAGTGAGCAGAGTGGGATTAGCAGTCTGTCAGCAAGGAATGGTAGCGGGCAGTTTGCTGCCTCTGGTTAAACTAGTTCCTGTAATCCTACCAGTTATTAGCTTGAGCAGAGTTAACCTACAGGTTAGCTGGGTGAGGCTTAACTTGTCTGAAAGGAAAGCTTAAACCTTGCTTCCTAGCAATGCACGTTCAGAAGGAATAGAATTTAAAGGCTGGTGCCACGTGTTTGTCTTTCCCTGCAGCTTGTCACCTCTCAAGGTATTGATTTTTCAGTGAGTTACCTCGTGCGTCACCACGGTCAGACCTTCTGTGATTTTTGTATGTGTCTGTGTTACAGGTGCTTCCCCAGACATGAGGAAGCCTAGGCACGTGCCCTCGCCTCAGAGGTGCCCGAGGCATGACTCTGAGTCCCCACCTCCCCGGAGGGCCGCCCGGAACGCCTCTGATGCAGACCTTTCTCCGCAGCGGAAGGATCGCAGGTCAGGCCTAGTGATTCCCTTAAGCACAATCCTCTGCAACAGAATCAAAGCACATTTTCTGACTCTGATTTCTCTCTTCTGTGAAGGACTCTGCCCACTGGGAAGGATCAGCAGAGCTCGAGGAGTCCCACTGATCTCTCACCTCACCACCACCGTGACTCTAAGGGATCTCCCAAGAAGGTGAGGGCTTTTTCTTTCCATCTGAGCTCTAGATGACTTCCTTCTGATAGAAAATTTGAAGTCCAGTGGCTTACAGACTGCACCTCATCTGTGCAGCTGTGCTGGACTGTCAACTCTCAGTGAGATGAGGTTTGAGAGACATAAAGGGACTCTGTCTCAGTGCACTGTTTTTTTTGGAGGGCTGTGGCAGCTGCTCCCAGAGTGGCTTTGTAACCTGGCTGTCTTTTCTGGTATTTCTCTTGATTTTGGGCCATCCCCTCATTATGCCTCTGGGTTACTGGGCAGCTCTCAGCCAGCAGCAAGTGTGATTCTTTTTGATTCCCAGGCAAACATGATGATGACGGGCGTCAAAGCTGGCTTGGTGTCAGCTGATGTGCTGCGGAGGGAGCAGCAAGAGCTCAAGAAGCGTGAGAGAAGTAACAGGCACCTGGAAGGTAGGGGTCTAAACCCACTGGTGAGCAGCAGCTTGCTTTATTTTTCTCCACTTTCTGCTGGTTCTTAATGCTGTGTCAGGCCCTGTCTTGAGTGCTGGTTGTGGGAGAGCAACCCTGTGGAGTAGCATCTAGACATGCTGATGGATTCCTGTGGGTAGGGCCAGTGGGCCTCTGAAAAGAAACCAAAACACTTTCAAATGGTGATTTCAAAGCAACGTTAGTGAAATCGTTGGAGAGGTGAGAGGCTTTTTACTCTGTCTGCCCCAGCTTCATGTCCTAATCAGAAGAAGTGAACTGGTGTTCAAAGAGCTCGTGGTGTGAGTGTGGCTATGTGGGGCAGCAGCTAATTTGCCTGTTACCAGTAGGTAAGCTCTTTCAGAGGCTAGAACATGTAAAAGGAAAATATGCAGAGATGAGTTCCAGTTAGTCACTGAATTGTCTGGAGGCTGTGAAGTATTCCAAAATGAGTGACTTGGGGCATCTGTCACCTTCAGAGGAATCTCGGCACACTGAAACCGTCTACCGAGACAAGTCAGGCCGCAAGAGGGACCTTGCTCAGGAACGACTTGAGCAGAAGCAGAAAGATGAAGCCAAGGCTGAGAGAGATGAACAATACGCCAGATGGGGCAAAGGGTAAGGGTCCTTCCGTGGTCGTTGGGTCTTGCATCACAACTCCACTCCCTGTTTTTTTGTCTGGTTTTGGTACCACCAAAGGTACCGCTTATAGTGCTACCTCTCACAGGGTCAGGGGCTGAAGGTTAGTAATGTTTTGAGTTTGAACCTGGGACATACATACATACTCCGATATGTCTTAGAGACCCCTTGAATTATCCCATCCATTGCTGCACGTGCTTTGGGAATGCTGCACACAGTGGAAGTTCAGGACTGTGGTCAGTACTGCAAGTCACAGTAAAGGACTCTGTGGTTTCGGGATAAAGCTTTGTTTCTGTTCGTTTTCAGGCTAGCACAGGGGAGGCAACAGCAGCAGAATGTGGAAGATGCAATAAAAGAGATGCAGAAGCCACTGGCCCGTTACATTGATGATCAGGATCTGGATCGAATGCTGCGAGAACAAGAGAGAGAAGGAGACCCCATGGCTGACTTCATCAAAAAAAGGAAGGCCAAGGAGAACAAAGAAAAGAAAGGTATGGGTATTAAGCTACGCTGGTGTAGGTTTTAAGGCACAAGGAGCATAGAAATGCAGCTGCTGTTTAATTAATAGCATAACATTGCTTCATGGCAGCTTAGTCCTTGTCTGGAGTTAGTGACACAGCAGTGTTTGCTATTAGTGGCTTGTTACTAGTAACTGTTACTGCTAT